TTAGACATACAAATTATAGATAAAATTTTTTCTCTGGGTAACTATATTTATCTTTTGTGCAAAATATATGACATTTTAATTAAAATATTCCTGAATCTTACAAGAATCCAGCAATATCAATTATATTATCTAACTTTAGTTTGAGGTATTATTTATTACAAAAAGTTAAGTATTCTGGTTTCCACACATCTCCTTGGGGCGGTTGGTGGAGGTGGGGGGAGGGAGGGACCGACCGGACCATCTGTTACGTGAAGAATATTTTTTTTTTTATTAACTGAAGATATTTGTTTTAGCTCATAAAATTCATACAAATTACCGTCAGAATATAATTTACATTGCTGGAATTCTTATAATTTGATGATCATTTTGAATATAAACATCATATATTTTGCATTAGACATAAAATTTTAGATAAAATGTTTAATCTAGTAAAATGTTATCTTTTGTGCAAATATATGATGTTTATATTCAATCCTAATCTTAAGGAATCAGCAATGTCAATTATATTATCCTAACTTTAATCTGAGGTATTATTTAATACAAAATGTTAAAATCTAAATTTTTCACCCTCTTCTCTTGAAGGAGGTGGTGGGGGGTGGGGAGGGTTGGGACTGACCGCGCGGTTGGAAGAAGGCAAGGTGGGGTCTTTGATTGACAGATAGTGTCGTGAAGATTATTTTTTTTATTAACTGAAGATATTTGTTTAGCTCATAAAATTCATACAAATTACCGGCCAGAATATAATTTACATTGCTGGAATTCTTATAATTTGGTGATCATTTTGAATATAAACATCATATATTTTTGCATTAGACATACAAATTTTAGATAACATTTTTCTCTGGGTAACTATGTTATCTTTTGTGCAAAATATATGACATTTATATTCAAAATATTCTGGTCTTACAAGGAATCCAGCAATGTCAGTGTATTATCCTAACTTTAGTTTGAGGTATTATTTATTAAAATTTAGTGGTTTTCCCCAAAATTTCTCAGAGGGAAGAGCCGGCAGTGTAGTGTGAGAAGGGGAGGAGTTGAGTCCATTATTTGAATGGACATTAACTAGCGACTGTATTTCTCTATTTCTTAGTATTAATTTTGTGCATGTACCATCATAAAATTAAGATGTTATTTTTTACTATAGTTATGTGTCTTCAAAGTGGAGTTTGGGGTCGGGCTGGTTTCTATTGAATTAATCCCATATGTTCTGTTGTTCATAGCGGTTCACTTAACGAGGACCCTCTGGGTTCTATTGACGCGTTAAGTGGGGTACAACTTAACTGTATATATATATATATATATATATATATATATATATATATATATATATATATATATATATATATATATATATATATATATATATATATATATATACATATATATATACTGTATATATATAAAGGAGAGAGAGGAGTCTACACATAGTACTGTAAGTGTTACAACATCTTGTAAGTCTCACTATGCGGGGAATCTTTATTTATGTTGAATTTCATTGGTCATCAGCAACCATATACTGTATAGACAACTTTTTATTGGGTGCTCTCAGGCACCCTGCTGCCATCTAAGGGTTAAAAATACAATCATTGTAATAGAGAGCCAATGTTTTTGTGAATCTCACTTGCTAGTGTGATTAGTTAGTTGGACAGACAGCCAGACAGATACATATATATATTTATTCAGTAAATTCATCACACAATTTTACAAAGATTGAGCATGTATACATACAGTGTTGGTATACAACAAATATACAGTGCAGGTATGCAATAAGAATACAGAACAGGTATACAACAAATAAACAGTTCAGGTATACAACAAATATACAGTGTGGGTATACAACAAATATACAGTTCAAGTATACAACAAATATGCAGTGCAGGGATACAAACAATGGCAAACAGTAAGTCAGTTCGACCAAGGATAACCAACACAGTCATCAGATGATTATTTCCAATTGGTCTTCTTATTTAAATAAATAATCCATTGTTTACACCTGAAATAATTCCTACCAACATGTAAGACCATACACTTTCAGATCATTTTCTCTAAGATCTTTCCTACAACTTTCAAGTAAGATTCTTCTCACCAGTGTGTACAGACATATGTCTCTTGAGATGGCTTTTATGTAATAACTTTTACCACACTCTTCACACTTATAATTCTTCTCACCAGTGTGTACAACCATATGCTGCTTCAGTTCACTCTTTCTGAGATAACTTTTACCACACTCTTCACACTCAAAATTCTTCTCACCAGTGTGTACAACCATATGCTGGTTCAGTTTCCCCTTTCTGGAATAACACAACACTCTTCACAATTAAAATTCTTCTTACCATTGTGTACAACCATATGGCACTTCAGATGGCTCTTTATGTAATAACATTACCACACTCTTCACACTTAAGATTCTTCTCACCATTGTGTACAGACATATGTCTCTTCAGATGGCTCTTTCTGGAATAACATTTACCACACTCATAACACTTTAAATTCTTCTCACCAGTGTGTACAATCATATGGCTATTCAGATGGCTCTTTGTGTAATAACATTTACCACACTCTTCACACTTAAAATTCTTCTCACCAGTGTGTATAACCATATGCTGCTTCAGATAGCTCTTTGTGGAATAACATTTACCACACTCTTCACACTTAAAATTCTTCTCACCAGTGTGTACAATCATATGGCTCTTCAAATGGCTCTTTATGTAATAACTTTTACCACACTCTTCACACTTAAAATTCTTCTCGCCAGTGTGTACAACCATATGCTGCTTCAGTTTGCTCTTTCTGGAATAACATTTACCACACTCTTCACATTTAAAATTCTTCTCATCAGTGTGTACAACCATATGGCTCTTCAGATGGCTCTTTGTGTAATAACATTTACCACACTCTTCACAAATAAAAATTTTCTCACTGGTGTGTACAACCATATGGCTCCTCAGTTTGCTCTTTTTGGAATAACATTTACCACACTCTTCACATTTAAAATTCTCACCAGTGTGTACAACCATATGACCCTTCAAATGGCTCTTTCTGGAATAACATTTACCACACTCTTCACATTTAAAATTCTTCTCATCAGTGTGTACAACCATATGGCTCTTCAAATAACTCTTTCTGGAACAACATTTACCACACTCTTCACACTTAAAATTCTTCTCACCAGTGTGTACAACCACATGCTGCTTCAGATAGTTCTTTCTGGAATAACATTTACCACACTCTTCACATTTAAAATTCTTCTCACCAGTGTGTACAAACATATGGCTCTTCAAATGGCTATTTCTGGAATAACATTTACCACACTCTTCACACTTAAAATTCTTTACACCAGTGTGTACAACTATTTGTTCCTTTAGTTGTTCCTTTTTGTTATAACTTTTACCACTTTCTAGACCTTTACGAGTTTTCTCATCAACAGTCACATGTTGTGTCACATCATAGTTACTGTTAAAACTTTCATCAAACTCTTCACACTTAATATCTTTTTCATTAACAGTCACATGTTGTGTCACATCATAGTTACTGTTAAAACTTTCATCAAACTCTTCACACTTAATATCTTTCTCATTAACAGTCACATGTTGTGTCACATCATAGTTACTGTTAAAACTTTCATCAACTTCTTCATATTTAATATTTATCTCAGCCAAACAGGTATGCATCTTCATAGAATCATTACAGTAAAATAATTCACCACACTGTACACACTCATAATTATTTTGGCCACCATGTCCAGCCATTTGATTCATAAACCGGGCCATCTTTTACACACTTTACAACACTCCATACAAGAAAATATTTCCTTCACTGTACACATGTTTGGGTAACTTTTGTACTGTATAAAAAAGTTATCCACTCTTCACAGCTAAATTTGCATAAATAATTCTGCACATGTGTGTGGTTCTTGAGCTCACTATTGTATGAGAAATATTTACCACAAGTGAACTTTGTCTCACCAGTATACAAGCACAGCAGACAAACACTTGTCACATTTATATATTGGAACTTTTATCAGCAGTGTACACAAGCAAAAGAGTCACAAGGTAGTTGTTTAGGTAAAAACATTGCAACTCTCATCATACTGTATTTAAACTATATATAACACAGTGCATCATTTAACTGGTATTTTCAAGAGAAAGTTTCACTTGTGTGAACGTTCTTTTTTTTCTCACTGTTTCCTAGAACACCAACTTGACTTCCATATTTGTAACTTAAGACTTGGAGAGTTGACAATTTACCTCAATCTTGATTACAATGTTCTCCTGAAGATGTTCACTAATCCTCATACTGTACTGACTTATTGTACAGTTGTGAGGAATTGTTCTGCCTCTTATTTTACAGAGCTTTAATTCTTGGTTGTGGTGGGAGATGTTTGTGTGGGTTGGCCTCCTGATGCTACCATAATATTTCTTTCTTACATCTGCCCAATCACACCTTTATGTCTGAAACAAAGTGAACAGTATTACAATGTTGAAGTTTTCAAAATTCCATAGTTGATGGAAGACTTACTGATAGATATTTACCCAAGGAAACAACTTGGTTGGCTCTGTACTGTACTCAAATAGCCTTACTTCCCTAACTAGAGTCAGTACAGTACTCAGTAACTGCTGGAATGACTTAGGATGTTTTGGGTACTAACGACCAACCCTAAGACTGAAGGTAAACCCTGTGTCCTCTCAGCTGCTTCACCTTTTCATTAGAATGTGGAATCAATTTTAAAATGTGCATCTTGCAGTAGCTACCTTGTGTCATTCTAAGTGTCAAGACATTGGGAGGAAAAAATTACTATCCACAAAGAACAACGAATCCCACAGAACTGTTCAGCAAGTGAAGGGAGTGTGAAGTCACAACATCAGATTGTTATAAATTTCTGTACAATGAAGCAAATAAATAGTTCTTGCTTATAAAGAATAATATTAACTGCATTACCTATGTGACTCAGTCCTTATTAAAAACTAATATCTACAAAAAAAAAAGGTAGTACAGTACAATATTACAATACATCGTCTTCACAATAGGTTAAGACAGGTTTGGTTGGTTTACTAGATTGTAACAGCACCTTTGCTTTATAGAAATATACCCCTAACTCCAAGTTATTTATCAGATTATTCTACAAGTGATTCACCATATTGTTTATGACTAGATCACTGAGGTTGTGTGTCGCAAGGCTCAAGCCAGGGTCAGCCGATTCAGTATACAGTACACTGCTTGCTCGCTACCACTCTAAAAGACCTGCCACTTAAAAGTTCCAGAACTTAATTAAAACAATTAGTGTCATACCAAAAGAGCAATCCATTGTTCCATGTATTTATTTGAAGTGTATTTCCTCAATAGATTTGCACTATATGTATTAAAACAAACAAACCAGTTAAAATACCATTACACGTCACCCACATACTTCAAAGTGCTGTTTTCACCTTGTAAATGTTCATACATTAGATGGAGGCTAGGCCAGGGAAGTGTCAGTGTGAACCTGGATACTGTACTTGGATGAATTAATAAACCTTTACTGAGTGAACACAATGATCTGGTTCTCCATGGTGTATCATCATCCCAGAATGTAGGAAAAAAGTCACAAACCTTAACCTAACTTAACATTATTTAGGCTATTTAAAAGATGTGTTTATATCCCTGACTTTTTCTAACCCCAATTGTGACTTTCTTTCCAGACACCTAAACAGAAGATGTCATCATAAGTGAGGAACAACTCTCCTGGCACTGAAGCTTTGGATGATAAAGTACATCCTCTCTACAGGAAGTTAGTTGACTCAATATAAAAACACCTCTGACATAAGCAAGAAAAATCTACTACATCAATATTCACAGGAGGAAATAACCTCTTGAGATTTAGTAACATGAAGCAAATTTTACAACAAACTTCACAAACTTACCAAAGTCTTGTCCTCAACCAGGAGATAAAATAAAGCTTGATCCACAAGTAAATAAGTTGAGATTTAAGTGAGTCAGTACAAACCCCAGCAGGAACCAGGTCCTCCTGTAATATAAAAACAATTAAATGTGATTAACAACATAAAGAGTGAGCAAGTCTTAATTAACCTCAATATTCATGTTTTAATAATACACAGAGAGAGTGTTACCATCACTTCCCTCTTATATTCTTAAGGCCTTCAAAGCACAGGAATATCACTTAATATTTATAATTTTCAGCCCACAAAACAACCACGTGGACAGTGACCTAACACAAATGCAGAAAGCTCCCATGTATACTGTGCACTAAATGACCATATATATTTATAGACACAGGTCACTCAAAGTTATTAATAAATGACATAATAATTTGTGTAAGATGGTCCAGTGTTATTGAAACAAAGCTTAACAAAAAAAATTGATTATTCCTTATCTACATGGATACACCCCATTTTGTAACCACTAACAGTCGCTGGTATGAGTGACAAATTGTAAGTTATTATTTTACACCAATAGAAATGACACATGTATACAGATGACTCAAGAAGTATTGTGTTATTATACATGACCAAGAAGTATTGTGTTATTATACATGACCATTAATTATTTAGTAAAAGAAAAAATGACTAAAACATTTTGTAAAGGTGTATAAAAGGGTGACCACTAGAAGGAATTGTCCAAATTGGTTGAATTTTCTCTGCACGCTAATAACATTATATTAAACACAGATGGAAGACAATGCATAGAACCTGACAATTTTTTATTTACTCTCACCCGCTTCACAATTATCCTCCCGGCGCCATTTTTGTTATTTACCTTGCTGAATCCCTTTTCAAGAGACGTTTCCTAAATGATGGTGAACGCTTCCACATATTGCTCCTCACCATTGCTGATGTACTGTATATCAACCTCAATATTAAGGTAGGTTGTTTAACACATTAATTAACACAATAATGCATAAAACCTAATAGAACCTGACCTAACAAACCCATAGTTGGGTATGTTAGATCAGATTCTATACATTGTCGTTTCCATTTTTGTGTTTAATATCATGATATTAGTGTGTAGAAAAATTTCAACCAATTTGGACAATTCCTTCTGGTGGTCACCACCTTCTACATTTTTACCAAACATTGGTAAATAAACAAAATACAGAACAAATAAAGAATTACAGTTAACCCTCACTTTACGCGGTTAATGTAACCCGGAGGGTACCGCGGAAAGTGAGGAACGCGTAAAGTGAATAACATAACATATGGGATTAATTGAAATGGAGTCCGGGCCGATCCCCAAACTCCACTTTTTGACGACACACAACTATGTTGTAGTAAAAATTTTATCTTAACTTTATGATGGTATGAAAAAACAAGTAATATAGAAGAGGTTAGGTTAGGAAAGATAAAGGTTAACATAGGAAAAATAAAGGAAAGGTTAGAAAACTAAAAATTAGGTGTAACACTTACGGTAGTAGAAGAGATGGGTCGGCATACGGGGATGGAGGCTGGTTCCGAGGCAGAGGGCAGATTACTGGCCCTCAGGTGAATCACCATTACTAGGTGAATCACCATCACTGTCACTTACAGTTGTCAGGGCTTCCCTGACAAATCCCTCAAAGTCACCTTCACTGTCACTATCACTGGCTTGGGCTGGCTGTGGTGGGTTGCGGGCGAAGAAATCTGTTATGCTTTGCTGACGGCTGGCGTTGATGTTGTCGTGATACACCTTGATGTACGGCTCCATAGCCTGCACCAGCCGGGTATGGAAGACTTCATAGCGGTCATCGTCATTGTCGCGGGAAAGGAAGGACTTCATCTTCTCTGCACACTCCATGGCACCCTTAATATCACTATGACTTAAATTGTGTTCTTCAGAGAATGACGCACCTTCTTCCTCCTCTTCACTGACGTGTTCTTCTTCCAACATCTCGTCTTTGAGACCAATTCTCTGTAATCGTTGTGGTCTCAGAGAAGCTGCAACTGTAACAGTCTGCGCAGCTTCTCTGTAAGCAAGGTCCACTTTCTACTGCAACATTCTGAACCTCACCAGTCACAGATTAGCTCCTCCTCTCACCTGGTATTCCATGCAACCCACATGTCTCCATGCGTGACCAATTGTAGCAATAGACTTAGCTGATCCCGCAGCTCCACCAAAGAATCCATTTCTTGATGTTAAATACTCTGATTTGGAAATGTGTTTTTTGGGTCCTGTCTTTAAAACCTTTTTATGGTGAATTTCTCCTCAGGTTACATAACTCTTCCCTAGTGTTGGTGTAGTCGTTTCAGGGCTGGAATTTTTTTGTTGAGAATGCAGCTTTCGTGTGATCAACTCCACTGATTCTTCTGGGCTGGATTAAAGGCGTGTGGAGAGGAGACCACTTTTTACACGTTGGGGTGACGATGATCTAACAACAATAAAGACTGTCCTGGTGCGTTGTCGCAGCAACAAAAATGTTAGGCCACATTCTGTCGCTCACAGAATTTCTTTACATCGAAGACGAGCGATTAATCGATGGAAGCATCCGCTTGGTCATGTCCATGCTCTTGTAAGCGTGCGGCTTGCGGGTATGTGGATCACCGATAACGCAGGCACTGGACGGTGATGCGTTTTCTTCTGCATTCCATTGGTCTGCTGGCATTCTTCCGGCGAAGACTTGATGGCTTTCCAGAAAGACGAGACTATTCCATATTGACACCTGGTCGTCGCTGTACTATCGCTTCTCAATCATGGCGGAGGAAATTTGGACCACGATCAGCTCGCTTCTTTGATATTTATATTGGTGATCTTGTTCGGATCTTAAACCTCTGTAACCACCGGGGAAGCACTGAAAGGTTTAGGCTCGAGAAGGTTTATGCTGGTACCGCCGCCACGATTCCTTAACAGAGCGCGTGTCGGCCGCCATGTTCCGTCGCGCCGCCTGACGCAAGTACCTCACAAGTAATTTTTTATAAAGCACCTGGTTGTGAAAATACGATCGTGAACTTTGTGATGTTTGTGCGACAGATCGCCGGTGGATTAGATTCGTTTAAAAAACACGCCATGCTGGCGCGTAATCATTGCTGTCGCTCTTTACTCGTAGCAGGCGTCGTTATGGTTTTGATTGCGATGGTTTTGATTTTACAGAACAATGGATGCGCGTTTACGGGTGGCAACCAGGATATGGAAACTGCAGCGGCTAGGTCAGCGTCGTGCTTGCCATCCTCTCACCAGGTGGTCTTGTGCTTTGCCAGCCCGTTGCGGCTGCCAGCAGAAGGGGTGGCAGGGATGCATGGCCAATCACAGGTCTGATAAATCATGATAACCTGTAAAAGACCCACACTCATAACCTTACGCGCTTATGGGTTCAGCAAAAACACCGTTAAGATGGACTTGAAAAGTGAGGGTTAACTGTTGTATTTATTATTATAAATGAATATTAATTATTTAATAAAGAAATGGTTAAAACATTTCGTAAATAAACAAAATATAAGAAAAAATAAGGTGATTTCGCACCAGCGATAAACCCATTGAGCAGTGAGATAATTGTAGGCGTATTAACAATGCTTTTAGGTTTTATTTTCGCCTTTTAATAAATTATCTTTGTGTTTGTTATTATTTTATATCCCAGCTAAAGCTGCCTCCAAAGTTGGGAATGCTGTACAGATGCCGTAGCTACTTCACTCCTGAGAAGTTGCTTCAAGCATATAAGGGGTTCATTCGTCCCTGGAGTACTGCTCTCATATCTGGGGTGGCTCTTCAACTATTAGATAGGGTGGAATCAAAGGCAACATTCTCTCTCTTCCCTTTCTCTGCGCCGCAATGTTGCTTCACTTTCTCTCTTTTACAGGTACTTTAACGGGCAATGTTCGGTGGACTTGGCATCCTGTGTACCGCCGGCAAGGCCGTGGGCTCGTAACACACGTCTTGCCCGTGGTGCCCACCGTTTCTCTGTGGACGTCGGTCACACGAAAATAACCTGTTATAGTACCTCCTTCTTTCCTCACACAGCCGAACTGTGGAATGCTCTGCCTTCTTCTGTGTTTCCATACTTATACAATGTCTCACTTTAAAAAGCTGGTTTTCCGGCATCTTCGTGGTGTACATTAACACAATATAACCTTTTTGTTCTCTAATTTAAATTTCTTTCTGTTCTTTTTTTTCGCCCCCCCCCCCCCAGTCGTGGGTCGATTGACCTGTGCCCGGGTGGGCTAATTCCCGTAAAAAAAAAAATTGCAGGGTCTCGATTGTTTCTCTTACTTTGACAACACAACATACATATATTGTTTCTCACTCTCGATTTTTTTTTGTATTTCTTTATGGTTCTTTATTATTATTATTACTATTAAATTTTCGCCTCCTAGGCCCCTCTGTGGGTCAGTGACCTGTGCCCAGGTGGGCTAATCCCCGTAAAAAAAAAATGGGCAGACCCCATTTATATACTGTATATTATGCAGAAGAAAGTAAAGAAATAAATAACACTGTGTAATACAAACACTCCTACCTGAGAACACTTAAAGCAAAATACTATATCGTATTTTTCGGCTTGGAAGACGCTGCATCGTGGAAGACGCTGCATCGTGGAAGACGCACCCTGATTTTGGAAATGAAATTCTAAAAAAAAAAATTACGGGTTTTAGCCCACCTGGGCACAGGTCACTGACCCACATTGGGGCTTAGGGGGCGAAAATGTAATAATAATAATAATAATAATAAAGAAATACAAAAATGAAAAAAAAAAATATCAAGAGTGAGAAACAATATACTTGTATGTATGTTGTGTTGTCAAAGTAAGAGAACAATTGAGACCCTGCAGAAAGTCAGATCATCAACCTGGGACTTGGTCACATAGGGTCTACCATTAGACAATACATTATGCTTCCAATATCTTCCCAGATGGTAGTACCTCCTTGTTTGGTACATTAGCTGCCTACTACCTACACCAGTGAAACCGTTGCTTGATATACAGCCTTTTTGGCACAAGTACACACACCTCTTTGAATATCATCACTTAGAACTGCTTATCAGCACTCATTTTATACACCTGGTCACCTCCACATCTTAGGGGCTGTAGTGTTTACATTCTTTCTCTTG